TACAATATTGAATTTATTTTTTATATGTTGGATTTTTTTTCAATATATTGGATTTTTTTTCAATAAATTGGATTTTTTTTCAATATATTGGATTTTTTTTTCAATATATTGGATTTTTTTCCAACATATTGCATTTTTTTCCAATATATTGAAAAAAAAAATTATTTTAAATGTGTGACCCCTAGACGCTTTCGTACTTAGTTATGTTATAAATAAATAAATAAATAAATTCTCATAATGTTAACTTTCCAGATGAAGAGTGACGGGTAAGTGAAGATTTTGAATTTCTTGAAAAGAGGTCTGCATGACTCTCTATAATTTGCATTCCTCAAGATTCTAATGGGCTTTTTTTGCTGTCTGAAGACAGTAGAAGCTGCCGATGAGTTACCCCAAATTAAAATTCCGTAATTGAGTTGGGACTGAATTAAAGAAAAACATACCGTTCTGAGAGTAGTAGTGTTAGTGATGCGTCTAAGTTGTCGCGAATTGAAAAGTGAGCTAGATAGTTTCATATTTAGTTGCCTGACGTGAGCCGACCAATTGAGCTTATCGTTTCTAGAGTCAGACCCAGAAGTTTTATTTCTCCATCTTCTTGTAAGGACGTGGTAGTAGTGATAAAGAGTTGCTGTGTTTATTCGTTGTTCATTTCCAGTTTTTTCACGATAAGTTCGGCTTTTTCCTCTACTTCGTCAGATAGAGAATTTAGGAAGTCATATGCTTCTTGAGAATAAATCAATGTGTCATCTGCGAATAGGATACTATATCGTATGGAGCCATAGATGGACATAGGTCATTGATATAGATTATGAACAGTAAAGGGCCCAAAACAGAACCTTGTGGAACACGGAATCTCACATCTCTGAATTCAGATAGTTTGTTAGTTTGTTGTTGAAATATACAGCTTAAAAACGATTCGTTGAATGAAATTCAATGAGGGTGAGAGTTACACCTCACACGTACATAACAACACAAACACATCTGCGATATTACGAATGTTCCATTGCTGCGATTTACATTAGCAAAAACGTCTGCGACATAATATCTCTGAGATGTTGCGCTGAGGCAACACTGCGATATCACGAATGTTCTGTCGCTGCGATGTAAAGAAGCAAACACATCTGCGACTGACATCTCTGAGATGTCGTGATGAGGCAAATAGGTAGATAAGGTAGGTGTTAGATTTTTTTTGAACTCTTGGAGATCATAAGTTCTTGGAAATACTTCCTTACGCAATTTCAGAGCTTTCCCGCTCTAAATTCGCAAACATTGGTTCCATTGGCTATCAAACTATTCTTGTTTTGCTTACATCTCGCCGACACACACTACATATAATTTTTGATACAAATACGAGTAACTGATCTCATTCTGATTATTAGGTACCAAGAATAGCGCCGCTGAAAAAACGATTGAATTGACAGAAGACCCGAAGGACAACCAAACAACCGGTCACAACAACACACAATCAATATAAGATTTCATCAGAAGTCAGTGGCGTACCTATTATCACACCATGTTTGAGGTAACTTTTTTTTTTCGCTTTACACCGATGTCATCTCGCATCACATCGTAGTTTTTTGCGCAAAAACACATCACTTTTCCATCACAAATAACATATCGCTGTTACATTGCAAAAAATATATCGCTGTTATATCGCAGAGAACTTATCACAATGACGTCGCATGGATGGAACTTGAGTGGGACGAAATAACATCCCTCTGACATCGCAGCGACGTCTATGCGACATAGAATGCGATATCGCATGTCACAATTGCTACATAGCCGTGATATCTCTGTGATGTTACTGTGTTTGCTGGGCGGTCGTGCATAAGATGCTGTATGAATCAATGGCGTAAAGTAGGCTTTTATAGACCGCAACGTGTAGGTAAGAGCTGGAGCGATAGCGAGGGCTATATTTACACGCCTAGGTCCATAAACACCTACTTTACGCCCGTGATACGCCCAGCAAACACAGTTACATCACAGAAATATCACGGCTATGTAACAATTGTGACCTGTGATATCACATTCTATGTCGCATAGACGTCGCTGCGATGTCAGAGGAATGTTATTTTGTCCCACACTCAAGTTCCATCCATGCGACGTCATTGCGATAACTTTTGTGCGATATAACAGCGATATATTTTTTGCAATGTTACTTTACGCCCTTGATACATAAATAACTATATTATTGACTTCTCTGTAATTTTTAGACGGCGCCATTAGTTACGGGTGGTTCCCAATGGATTCTTCGAAAGAATTTAAAGTTTGAGTGGCGTTTTGGTCTCGTATAGGTAAGTCAAAATTTGTCCCGTAATTTTTCTTTGATGCGAGATAATAATAATAATCAAGATATCTGTGCTCCTTCTAGCTGTAGGACACCCTGTATAATAAATTTAATTATGAGCGGTAATGACAATCATTGATGATGACCCTGCACCAACCAGCATATTAATTTCGAATCGTGAGAAACGACCGGATACGGTAGAAGAATTGATTATATTATTTTGTATTGGATGCTGATGGTGATTGGAAAAAGTTTTTCGAATTGAAACGCCATATCTAGGTGTACGACATACTATAACAATTCGTTTCGGTGAGAGGCACACGCAATTTGCTGAAATAACATTCTAAGAGAACGTCATGCTATTGTTTGAGTTTGGATAACGGGGCAACTTACAACTGGATCTGATCGCTTGTTATCTCGGAAAATTATCCAATCTCGATTAGATTCCGTAATTTTTTGGATATTCCGTAATCCCGCAATAATGAGGTAGTAAGTGAACTACTTTAACCCTTCACTACTAACGTTCCAAATATATGACGTTGTCACTAACCACACGTCTCACAGACGGAACTACACTCAGTTCCAAAAAAAGTGACGCACTTGATATTTGACCTATCTTCTCAAAAAAAAAAAAAAAAATAGTAGGCCGATTTTCATTTTTTTTTCTATTTGTTGGTAGGTAAAGCATTTGTCTTTAAAAAAAATAAAGAGGTGAACATTTTCTCAAACTCCTTGATGGTGGTGGAATAACTCGAACCATGATTTATTCTTAATTTTTGACTCACCCTGTGTGTTAATTGAGTAATGGCATACAAAGTGCTTACACCCTATACGAAAGAGGCTTCTTTTGCGAGCATTTTGTTTTTTTATTCATTGATTTATCTCTAAAATTTTCCGAATTACAGCTTTTTTGCTGATACCTTACGCTTACCCCACAAATTAAATTTATTGAAGGATCAGAGTACTCAAAATTGATTGGGTTGTACTCTGGTAGGATCACATTGTCTTTTAAAAAACAAATGCCGTTGCCATAGCAACTAATTTGTTGTATGCCTCTATATTTTACCATTTGTCGTTGTGTCATTAATAATTAAGTGTATTGTTTTATTGACTAAAATTACATAAAATGCCTCAAATAAATCCTGGACAAGTAGCAAGATTAGTTGCGTTAGTAAACGATGGGCGTAGTAAACGTTACGCCGCTCCTGCAGTGGGAGTTCATGAAGCAACTGCTCGTAGAGCAATCCGCAAGTACGAACAAACAGGAAGCACCGCTCGGAGGGTCGGTTCTGGTCGCCCCCGAAAATCTTCTCCAAGAGATGATCGCTTCTTGAGATTGCGGATTTTACGGAATCGATCAAATACTGCGGTGAATGTTCAGCAAGATCTTCGCCACATTATAATGGCCTGCGAGAAGCCCCGATATGAATCCTATAGAATATTTGTGGGATGCATTAGGGAGAAGGGTTCGTTCTCGCGAGAGGTCTCCGGAAAGTCTCGCAGAAATGGCAGATGCATTAGTGGAAGAATGGGATCGTATACCAATGGAAACGATAAGCAACTTAATTTCCAGTATGCCTCGTAGATTAGAAGTTCTTAGAGTTGATAGAGGAGGCAATACACGGTATCAAGCAGTCATCCCAGTTTATAATTTTGTGTTTAATAAAAATGTTTTTTGAAATTATTGCTATCAGTTTATTTCATTAGAAAATTGTTTCTTGATAAATTCAGAAAGTTGGTAATCTGCAAGGATTCAGCAAAAAAGCTGTAATTCGGAAAATTTCAGAGATAAATCAATGAATAAAAAAACAAAATGCTCGCAAAAGAAGCCTCTTTCGTATAGGGTGTAAGCACTTTCTATGCCATTACTCAATTAACACACAGGGTGAGTCAAAAATTGAGATTGAAAAAATTTTCACCTCATCATTTTTATTTAAAAACAAATGCATTACCTACCAACAAATGAAAAAAAAATTAAAATCGGCCTACTAGGTCGATATCAAGTGCGTCACTTTTTTTGGAACTGAGTGTATTTTCCGTATGAAACAGTTTTCTATAGAAATTTCAGAGCAATCTGATGTGTTTTTTTCATTTGTCGGTATATCCATACTTATTTTTCTACTTCAAATACTTTTCAAAACAAGGTGTCTGATGATTATCGATTCGTTTCTTTTTTACGCTCTCTGATAGTAAAATATTTGAACGCAGTGACATTTTGGGGCAAATTATCTGATTTGTTTCTAAGAGGGTTAGAAAACACAAAATGATTTGTTCCCACTACAAACACGTATATATGACATAATATACTTAATTCTGAATTTATATTAACAAGTAGGGAAAATTTCAAAAAAATATGGAGAAATGATTTTTTTTCAATCTATAGAACAAATAAAATTCAATTTTTTCGAATTCTTCGTTAATCAAAAACTACTCAGACAATTTCTTGGTAGAAAATGGCTAACTGGATTGATTTTCTGCTGAATGGATGAAGAGAAAAATGGAAATTATCTGTATTTTTTTGTTCTTTTCACATTATTAGTTGGCGTGAAAACGCGAAACTTTACCAGTATTCAACCGTATACCATATTCGTATATTGTAATGGCCAAGATAAACAAAGAATATGTAAATATACAGTGTGTTCCATTTAAATGAGGTTGAGTACGCTGTAGATAATATAACGAGTTTGGTTACACTGGTATTTAAAAAAAATCGTACCGTTTGGGGAGCACCATCCTCCTGTTCCAGTGGAACTGCTCCATTTCTCAATATTCTAAAAAAAAATCACACATCACAAAATTATCCGCGACTCGTCATCCACCATCCGCCGGTCTGTTTCCTTCGGAGCGCGCGTCAATGGAAACTGCATGCGATGCAAGCCAGTCGAACGGACGTTCTGACTCTGACATACACGCGGTACCACAGATAGATTATGGTACTGGTACCATCTACCCATCTACCGGTTCGCCGCCACGCCTGACGGTGTGCCAGAGCGCTTCCGCAAAATCTTTATTTTCTTTCGTTGGACAATGCATGGTGCCCGAGATCGGTGAATATGGGTCAGTGAGGTAGCAGATTGAATTTCTCGTTGTGTAGTTGTTTGTCGTTCACAGCAATCATAGCTGTATACAGCATCATCAGTGGCTAGTGTCGTCTTCTTCACTCAAGTTACCCGTTCTCGGAGTCACTTTTTTTCGCATTTTTATATAAATAGACAATACAATACAATACTTTTATTTTCCATTAGACATTTTTACATGTATAGGAATCGTCAGATTGAAGGCTTAAAACTAGATAGTTTGAGACAGAGACATAAGATAAAATGATAATATTTAGATATTACAGAGACAGAAACAAAAATACTAGACGCTGCCGAAAAATATTCTTCTAAGGTTCGTTTTGGAATGACTGAGTTTTTTGAAGTTTTTCAGTCGACTGGGAAGTTTTTATTGAAAACTTTGAGTCCAAAGTAATTGAGAGAGTTACGTGTAATCTCATATTTACACATTGGAATGTGATAATTGTCACTTGTACTTATACCATGTATATTCCTATAAGTAATGAATTTTTCTTTGTTCAAAAATACATAAACACATAATTCAAATACAAAAACACCAATGACAGTTGAAATGTTAAGGCTATTAAAAATATTTCGGCAAGATTATTGACTAGGTATACCTGCTATTATTCTAATAATCCTTTTCTGTACAATAACAACATCCGGTGATAGAGTAGAGTTACCCCAAAAATTTATACCATAGCGGATTCGGGAGGAAACTTGAGCATGATAGAGCGACAACAACTGTTCTTCTGTAAGCATTGTTTTTAGACTCCGAAACATATAACAGAAAATTTAGATTCTTTATCAATTTGTTACAATGGTATTTCCATGTTAAACATTCATCTATGCCGATTCCTACGAATGTTAACTCATCAACATTTCCCAGCAGATCACCATGCACAGATATTGAATTACGTTAGTTTTTTCTACATTAAAGACGAGGAGTGAGTTAACACTACACCAAGAGATCACTGTATCCATAACGTTGTGGCAGTGTTCCGATAGATTATCCCCATTTTTGTCTGATATGAGTATAGTAGTATCATCAGCATAAATTACATAATGCGAATTATTGGTGAGACTATCCAGTTCATTGATATAGCATAGAAATAAGATAGGTCCCAAAACAGATCCCTGAGGGACTCCTACACGAGCAGCTTGGTAGTCAGAATTCACTCTACGGTAAGAAGTATTTTCTTTGAAGTTTATTGATACATATTGTCGTCTGTTCTTGACGAAAGATGTGATCCATTCTAAAGCTACTCCTCGTATTCCGTACGTATACAATTTGGAAAATAGGATGTCGTGTTGAACGCAGTCAAATGCCTTGCTAAGATCGCAGAAGACCAGCCTTTGAAAACGGTAAAATGTGAAGAAAAATCATAGTAGGATGAAACTCTTTGAAATAGAAAAAGAATATAACAAAGATGAAAGGAAAAACAAATTGCGGGTGATCTGAGGTCGGGAAATGGTAGGGGGTGAGTTTCCAAGGGTGAAAAGCGGTTTATCTTGATTTCCAGCAAAACTACGAGCCCTATGGAAAAGAGTTGAATAGCAAAGTTGTAGGTAATAAAGAGACCTACAACCTTTGTGATCACACTTTTTTTACATAACCTCAAAATTTATGTGAAAAATTCAAATAATCAAGTTTTTGGTTTTTTATATTTCTTATGCACAAAAAAAATTTCTCGAAATTTGGTCAAAACTTACTTTTTATGTCCTAAAGACACTTTAGACACTGTAATTTTTTTGATTAGGACTATATATTTTTTCACCTTATATTGACTTAATATCGAAAAAACAACCTAATTTTCAATCGAAAATTCTCGCGTCAAAAGATCAGCTTTTTGTAAAAACTCGGGTTGTTTTTTGTTCGTTGAAATCTCTTCTTTCTGATAATATGAAAAAATATTTACATTACTATTGTAGATGTTCTCAGAAAATGCAAAGAAAAGAAAAAAACTCGAATCCGATTTTTTTTTATTCACTATGTACAATTTTGAGCTATCTTGTGAAATGTTCACTTCAATTACTTGAAAAATGTCAGATTCTATATAAAATTGGATAACAAAAAAGTTACAAATCCATGAATCAGAAGAAGATTGCAAGAATCATGCGAAAATAGTTGTTATAGGATTTAAAGGAGGGATTTCAATAAGAACATGAGATTGCTGCAGTTTTTTATTGGCAAAAAGTTGATTTATTAAATTCTAATTACATTTTTCTACTCACATAACTAAAATGGCATTCGTACGGATATGTACCACGCTAAATGATCGATTTCACGGATTGTCGATCTGTGATTTATTCAAAATATCAAACACGTTACCATGGCAACACGATTTCTTAAACACATTACCATGGCAACGCAGTTCATTAAACACAGCTTCAGTAATTTGGGACATGTCTGGCCTGTCAATTGTATTAACTGTCAACTGTTATTTTCGAATTTTGTATCAGAATTATTCAAACAATATTCGTTTGTATCAGAATTCTTCATTAAAAATGTATGCGAAAAGTAGACGAAAGTGGAATCGAAGAAAATGTTCTGGTACTTGCATATCTCCAAGAAGTGTAAAAATGAAGCATCCATCTTTGAGAACAATTTATTTGTTCTGCGCTAAGCATGACAATAAACGTGAAACAAAGGTTAGTAAGCAATGGACTGGACACATATCTACAACCAATATCACTTATACGTGTCTCGCTGGTTGCATGCAGTTGCATGTATTATGTTCTCAATTCCCATTCCTTTCGAATTATTTTGTAGGTTAGCAGGAATAGCAGGTATGTCAATGTAATTTTCGGAGTTCGTAGAAAAATCATAGTATGTAACGCGTTTATAAATTATTCTAGACACTCGTTTATTAAACACTCGCTCCGCTCTGCTCCGCTCGTGCTTATACTACTCGTTACCAAAAGGACGTTTATAACACTTGTTACATAATATACTATTATGTCATATTAAATCTCATATATGAATAGAAATGTAAATCGTACTATTGAATTTAGATATTTTATACTGATTATTATTATTCATAAAAATATTTTCAAATGCATTTATCTTCTTATTTATAAAGCTTATTTTGAACCCAAATCACTTATTCATCACTTTTTGTCTCTTCGATGGCATTTCTTCATCGTTAGATTCGACAAACCTTCCCGATTCTAGTTGATATTTGAAATCTTCAGGACCATCACCGTCTGCTGCCAAAAACATGGCTCAAATGCACGAATTTATGCAAAAATTGTCATGGTTCTGAAAAATGCACCAATGTGGAAGAAAAAACCTACCAGGAAGTTAGTGATTCAGAGGAAATTGTAGATGAAGGACTAATTCAGACTAAAAATAATATTGGATACGAAGACGGTGATGGTCTTGAAAATTTCGAAAATCTACTAGAATCGGGAAGCTTTGTCTAATCCAACGATGAAGAAATGCCACAGAAGAGACGAAAAGTAATGGATAAGTGATTAGGGTTCTAGATAAGATTTATAAATTAGAAGAATAATGCATTTGAAGATATTATTATGAACAATATTAATCAGTATAAAGTATCTAAATTCAATAGTACGATTTACATTTCTATTGATATATTATGAGATTTTCTATGACATAAATGTCAACTTTTTGACTGAAAAAATTGCAGCAATCACATTTTTTTATTGAAATCCCCCCTTTAAGTCCTATCTTTAATATTTAGAACAACTAACATAGTGATTAAAGGAAAATTCGGATTCAAGTTATTTTCTTTTCTTTGCTTTCCTGAGAACATTTACTATAGTGATGATATATTTTTTACATTATCAGAAAGAAGAGATTTCAACGAACAAAAAACGCCCCGAGTTTTTTTAAAAGCTGATATTTTGACGTGAGAAGTTTCGATTGAAAATTAATTCCCACGGGAAAAAAGTAATTCATGAAAAGTGACATTTTATAACCTTCCAACAGAGATGAAATGCCAAACTCTTTTCCCGTCACAGAAAAAATTAACATTAGCGGTTGCATCTTGATTCAGTGGCTATGATTCTCGAAGTTAATTTCATTCGACTGAATTTTCTTTATGAAATGACCTGGTTGGTATCTGGAGTTGATTTTTTCCCACCCTGAAAAAAATCAAGTACGAGTCCCAGTTCAGTTTGATGCAATGATCATTTTGACTTGTAATTCTTAGGTCCTTATATAGGAGTAGTTTCCTTAATTTTTCCATAGTAGGAAATATGACATAAAAAAATGGGAATAAAAATGAGGAAATTCCTCTCCAGTCTTACTGTCTGTGTCTACACCTGTTTATCACATTATATATCGAGATTATCGCAAATAGGAAACAATAAAAATCTTGAAACTTTCCTTCCTTTTATTAACGATAAAACAACATTGTTCGAATGGGCTTTCGGAGACGTCTAACTGGTAGTAAGTATCTGTCATGCAACAAAATTTCTCTACTTGACATAAAGAAATAATTGCCGACTAGATTGGTGCTAACTTCTTTCGTTTCAATAGCCAACTATATTCTTGAAGTGTTCTGAAATTTAGCTCAATTAGGTACACAATTCTACTATTGATTGTCATTAGAATCTTTGTTATTTTAATGGTTCCAAAGGAAGGTACCTTAAATGGAACCATTTTATAATTAATCTTGTGTATGTCTGACTGTTTGTCAGTTCCATCTTTTTCTGTCTTTCTGTTCTGTCTATCTG